GGCTCGCCCAACATTTCCCCCAGGGCTGCCACGTTCGGGCATACAGGTTGAGCACTGCATAACTCCAGGGGGCACCACTCATACAGTGCCTGCTTGACTGCGAAACGTGAGACTTCATCCCCTCCAGTCCCATGCTATACGATCACTGTTTCTGTCCTTCTGTGCCATCCACATATGCTGGCCCCTCCCTTAAGAAAGTACCTTTTTACCTTCTCCATCTGCAAACTCTTAGTCTCTTAGAACCTAGTTCAAATATCTGTTTTCTTCAAAGGTCCTTCTCATTTCCCAGCAAAATTTATTCCTCTATTTTGTCTCTGTCACTATGACTTCCCCTATTATATTCATCTGTCAGTTTTCTTAGTGAACATTTTGGGGCCCAAAACTTAATGTCATATCGTTACTTCAGAACTCATTGCATGTCACATGAACAAGCAGTAGCAATTCCACAACCTTGGTTTGTTAGATTGACCAACAGATTTTCTCTACAAGAAAAATGCTTCTCAAACTTTCCTGAGAAATAGCTCCCTTAAAAGATTAATTTTGAATTTTAAAAAGTTCTGAGGGCAACTACTAAGTGAACATTGTATTACAGGCAAAAGAATTTTTTTCCCTTGTCTTCTCAGAGACTTTCATAGACTAATAACTATTTTTTGAATTCTCAAGAAAGAGAAATAGGAAATCAGTTCCAAACTTATTTGACAATTTTCTACTTTTCCATGTATGCCTAGTTCTCTCTAGAGATTTGTTGCTACTCTTCCTCTCTCCCTGTGTTCCACGCTCCCTTTCCTAGGGAAAAGGAAGTGACTGCTCCCTGCCTCAGGCAGTGGCAGGAATAAAAATGGAAGGAAGGTTGAGGCAAAACATTGAGGCCCCTCAATGTCAAGGTAGAGAGGATGCTCTGGTCAATGGTAAGGAGACCCTGGAAGATATCATGCAGTCTTTGTTTTAGAAAGTCACCCTTGAATCATCAGAGAAAAAAGCACTGAGAGGAAGCAAGAGTGGATGGGCAAGAAGACAGGTAGGAGGCTGTTGCCATTGTCCTTCTGTGAGGTTGAAAGAGGGAGGAGTGAGAGAGACAGACACAGACACAGAGAAGGGATGTGGGGAGAGCAGGAGAGAGAGACCTTCTGGAAAAGTTACAGTGGAATTAGAGGACCTAGGAGTTGTCACCAGTGAAATACATTGGGAAAAGGGTTTAGGTAAAGCTGAGGCCAGTGTGTGACACTGAAGGGGATGACAAACAATGCAGTAATCAAGAAAATATGTTAACACAACATTTCAAAAACATAAAAATTAGTGCAAAGCATTCATGATTTATAAAACATTAAACTTCTGGTAAAGACAGGATCGATCACTAATTTTTTTTTCCTTTTGTCTCAGTCCAAAATGTGACTCAGCAGGACACTGAATATAGGATGACACTCAGGTCACAAAATTATGGCGTGTTTAAAAAAGTTAGTGGGAGAAAAATTGGTTTAGGGTAGAAGTTAGTGGGTTATATTTTAGCAGCAGCTCAGTCTGCAGCTGAGGACCATTTAGTGTAGGAATACAGGATGGTTGCTGAGGTTGGGTGATGGGGGAGGGAGAAGAGAATTTAGACTCAGTGGCAAGGCCACCAAATTCACTCACTTCTCAAAATGAACTGCAATCTTGACTTAGCTTCCGCACATCAAATGGACGGGGCGGGAGCTGGTTGCAGGGATGCACGCACATAAGCAATTCAAGTTGTGCATCGTGCCCACTAGGCCTCCACTCAGGTGTCCAGACAGAACTGTGAGCATCGAAATTACACTCTTGTATCCATTCATTTGCCAGTTCCTTCTTCCTCCTCCTCTCCCTTCTGTGTGCCAGCCCTGTGACAGGAAGTGGGGAGGGGGGCAGGAGGAAGAAAAGCCGGCAGCAATGGAGGGTGAAGCGAAGAAATGAAAAGGAAGACAGGAGAGTAATGGGGTGGGGGGAGAAACAGTAGTATGGAAGGCTAATGTTTTTCTAAATTATGAATAAAGTATTTCACATGAATTTTAAAGTTGAAACTTGTCTCTCCCTACCCCCCAGACTGCAGTGACAAACTAAAGAGTGATGACAGACTGATTCAAAGCTTTTATTCTCCTTTTTTTTAAAGTTTTATTTATTTATGCATACAAGAACTGGGGTACAGGCCAGACGTGTGGGGGGTGAGAGGACTCACCAGAGACAGAGTGGGGAACAGAACAGGCAGACTGACTGAAATACACTGCTGAGGGGAGCAGTGGGCGAGTCAGGAGAGGTCTGGGTATCTCCCTATGGGTATCTCCCTGGCCGGGAATTGAACTCTGTGCTGCAGAGGCTGCGGATTGCTTCATAGGTTGCGTCTCAACCCCTGCACCACCAGGGAGGCCCCTTTATTCTCCTTTTTAATAGGGAAAGAAGGCCCAGATCCAGGATGTACAATAGCCCTCAAGTGATCTCCCAGCAAGCACTCAACTAGAGGGACAGGGCGAGGCTGCTCCTTCACACTCAACCCACACCCCGCAGCTCAGCTCCACACATGGCTGCGAGGTTCCAGGGAGCAAAACTGTCCAAAGCTCAGTGGCTAAAGAAAATGACAGCCTAGAGAGAAAGATGGAGGGCAGAAGGGAGGGAGTGGGAAGGGAGGGCTCACCAGTGATGATACAGTTGCTACTGTGAATCTCAAATTTAGCTAGAATGACCAGTCCTGGACAAACACACCAGACAAGAGAAATGACCCAGAGGATGCTGAGCCAGATGGAGTGAGTCAGGCAAAGAATTGACTTTCTTCCAAGAGAGCTTTCTGTGAAATGAGCGTTGTGAACAGAAGAGAAAACTGCCCTATAAATTCAAAGCCTGTTGACATTTGCCATCACCTCGGCCTCAGCTGAGCCCTGGAGTCAGAATCCACGCGTCCAGCTGCTGGGGCAATGTCCAGCCAGTCTTTGGTGGGGCAACGAAAACTTTGCAGGGGCCTGACAGGCCATGGAGGCATTCTCAGACCCAGCCAGGAGACCCCTGGGACGGATCTTGACCTCTCTCTCTGCAACTCAGTTTTCACACCCACAAATCAGAGCTGACCGTGTGGGGAGTAGATTGAGGTCTTCTGTGGTTCCCAGATGTGCATCCAGCAAGGAGCTATATCAGATTCTCCAAGGGCGGGGTGAGGGGCAGACCATTCAAACACCCTTTCTGGGCCAGCTCTGATTCCAGGTCTACGGGTCTCCAGATAGGTGCTGATCAGGTCACCACTGGACTTTCCGGCCCAGAGATGGTCAGAGACAGCCTCTCAAAAAGGTTACTATAAATTACATGGAAGTCATGTGAAGGTGGAGCTTTCAAATGACATGAAAAAGAAAGGTAGGACAGGTGACAGATTTGATAATGTTTAAAAAAAATTCATGATGGCAATTACAATGCACATCAATAAATAGAATTGAAAAGACAATTCAAAAAATTTCCCCTTAACTTCAACTCCTTAAATAACATCTATAGGCAGTGTAGGAGGGGCAGGGAGCGAGGGAAGTCTCTATCTCCCCCAGGATTTACTAAAGTGATTAATGGTGGGGGTCACCACGGCCCCTGTTTGGGCCTGTTACAGTTCGCTAAGCTCCACCAAGCTTAGGTATTAGGGGCTCCTCCACTGAAGCATTTGTGTTGAAGGAAGGAGGCGGAGGAAGGGAGGAAGCTTTTTTTAAAAACTCTGGAGATGCCTGAGGCCTAGTCTAAATCTCAGGACACAATTCTGTTTGTCTTGCTTTCCTAGTCACGTTGCTGATGTTCCAGCGTTCTCTGCCCCATTGCTCAGTGTTTGTTTATGGCAGTGAAGTAGAAAATTGTAATGTCTGTAATTGTTATTGGTTTGCTGATTGTGTGACCACCTGGTTTGCTGGAGTTAGGACAAAGGCGGTAAATCCCCCCTCAAAGCTAAAACTGTGTACTTTAGGAGGAGAAAGAGGAGAAGGGGGTGTTTGAATGTCTTTTGTTTGTGTCTGTATGTTGTTTTATAAAAAGTAATTGAAAGTTGAAATTATTTTAATTAAAACAATAAAAGCCCCCTTGGTACACTCTCCATGGCACAAGTTTGCACTCAAAGGCCTTCCTCTTTTTGCAATGAAATGCCCTGAAACTGAGGAATTCCTCAATAAACAACTTCATACTTGACTTGCCATGTATGAAGTTGGATGTGCAGTTTCCAGATGTTTTTCAAAAGGCCCTGTGCCCTGAGGTACACTGCCTGCTCCAAGACACCCCTCTGGTCTGTAGAGACCCCACAGCTGTTTTAGCAGAAAATTATTTTCTTTTAATTTCTTATGATGCCACATTCAACATGTACCTTTCATCCAGAGAGGCCGCTAAGATGTTCAAAGGATTCAGAATTACCAACCCACCCTCTACCCTCTGGAGTCATACACAGAAAATATTTAACATCTGTACTGCTGTACCACCCAAAAGTTTTAAATTGAAGGAAGATGTGTTTCTCGTACTAAATTATCAAAGGAATTTCCAGAGTGAGCTCAGTTACCCAGGTTGGTCAGGACATGACCACAGAGAAACCCTTCTATTATACCAAGCGCTGGGGGACTGGACAGACAAACAGCCTTGCTCCACATCTGGCCTAGAAAGGGCGCCACAGGTAAGGTGTGTTTGCCAGCCCTCAACTAACACTGGGCAGGTATTAATAGTAATGAAGATGATGAGGATGACTGATTTCACTGGGTGTTTACTGTCATCCAGGACTGGAGTTCAATGGTTCCTGTACACGATTCCATTTAAACCTCTGAGGTACCATTAACAGGTGTTACTATTTTATAGAAGGAAAAAAATATATGAAGCTTGGGTCACTAATCAAAGATCACAAAGTTGTTAATTTAAATTAATTTAAAATGTGAATCCAGGTTTGTCCTTCTTGGTGCCTATGGTCTCAGCCACTGTCCCCACTGTGACATCATGTGGCCCTGGTGCACTCTGGAAAGGTCAGTGCCTTGCCGCTCAGACACTGAGCAGTTTGGCGAGGTGAGACCCTGCCATGTGCAGAGGCCAGAAGTGGGAGAGATGAGGAATTGGTGCTGTCCTTGCTGACGTATGAACGGGTGACCCACTGTCCCATTTTGCCTGGGACTGTCCCAGTTTTAGCACCAAGAGGATATCATCGCAGATGTGGCAGGTGGAATTCTAGGATGACTCCCAAAATTCCATGCTGTGCATGCCACTTCACCCAGTTATTCAATCAAGCATTAAATCTAGGTGTTGATGTGAAGGGATTTTGCAGGTGTAAATAAATTGACTTGAAGACAGGAAGATCAGCTGGCCTTACCAGGAGATGCGAAACCCTAGGGGGTGCACTGAGGCTTTGAAGACGGTGGAGGTGAGCTGGCAAGGAGGCTGAGGAACTTCTGGGAATTGAGGGGTCTCCTGCTGACAGCAGGCAAAGAACTGGGAATTTCAGCCCTACACTGTCAGAAACTGAACTCAGCCAACAATGTGAATGAGTTCCAGAACGGATTTTTACCCAGAGTCCCCAGAACTCAGTCGGCAGACATCTGAATCTCAGCTTTTGAGACTGAGGAGGGAATCCCGCCATGCCCCAGTGTGGGTATTGCTCCAAGTGGCTGAGTTAGTGGGAACTAGCTATGCTGCAATAGAAGTATAATAAAGAAGAGGAAATGCTTCAGTGTCAGGTAAACCAGGACAGTTGGTCACCCTGGACACCCTCAGACCCACATGACAGGTGTCATAGGAGGCACACAGAGGGTGGGGTGTGAAGTGTTGCTGGGGAGCAGGTAGCATTTGTGGAGAAAGTGACCTGTCTCTGGGGTAGGATTTGGGCACAGGGAAAGGATGAAAGATATTTAAGAAGGAGGAACAGCATAAGCAAAGATAGACAGGCAGGAATATGAAATGGACATCGTCCAAGATGCCACCAAGGCAACCATTAAGCCCTTGAGAGAGTCAAGTGTTTAGGGACAAAGATTTTGTAACCAGCATTCAAGAGGGCCATGAAAATGGCAATGAAATTGGCAGCTCGTGGTGGCATGTTTTTGTTTCAGGCATCCTGACTTTGATGCAGTTCACCCACTACCAGGTGGCTTTGAACCCCTTGAAGGCAGGGTATGGCTTATTCAGATGTGTTACCTCACATGCAGTACAGGGTCAAAGGCATCATTACTGTCAGTAAATACTAAGTAGATGATGAATGGTTACATGGACAAAACAATACCATTTCAGACCAAGCCTGCTGCCACTTGTCCCTAGAAATATAAAGAGATTGGCAAGACTGACCCATCACACTCCCCACCCACCTTCTCCAGGACCTGACAGGAGCCTCTTTTGTCCTCCGTGGTCACCTGGGTTTTGATGCCTCCCTGCCAGTCTCCACTCTGCCCCACACCAGCTGTGTGACTTTGGGCAAGGAACTTAACTTTTCCATGCCTCAGTTTCCTGGTTGTAAGAAGGACACACTCAGTCCCACCTCGCCAGATGTCTGTAAGGATTAGCATGGAGCATAGGATAAATTTCAACAAGTTCAGCTGTTAGTATGATTCGTTTTTATTTTAAGTAGCTATGACACATTTTTAGACAATAAGGGCCCTTACACTCTGCCCAACCAAAGAGCATTTTTATTTTACCAGAAGATTCTTGAAACCAAACAAAACTTTGAGCCCCACTAGGAGGACTGTCCCCAAGGAGGTGGGTCAGAACCGGGACCTCCCAGGGTGGCTGAGCCAGGCCCTCCAGGAGGTGCTCCTTAGAGGAGTCAGTGGTTCTGCATGGGCCTGAGACCATGCCTATGGCAGCCTCAGCCCTCCTCCAGACTGGCTCCGGAATTTGCATTTTCACAAGCCCCCAGAGAGTAGAACTCCTATCAGCCCCCATCTGGACAACACAGTGTCTCTCTGACCTTTTCTCATGATTTGCTTCGAAAGTTGTGTTCAAACTCACAGGCAAGCCAGACCACAAAACTCTCAGCTGGCAAGAGAGAACTGCATTTCCAGGGACAGCTGGCTCTCTATATGTTTCAACAAACTGGCATTATCCAAGAGCTCCCATGATCTGAAGTCAGGCTCACAACTCAGCAAAAATAAACTTTCCAGGAAATTTCTGGCACACCCAGTTTTCAAACCCTTCATCTCAGGAATGTTACCCAAGCCGTGGCCTCTTTCCCTAACTCATTCCTAACACCGTTTCCCAGTATGGGATAGTTCTCTTTCTGAACTGACAAAATATACACAGCCACACGGGAGAAGGCAGGAAGGCCGCGTTCAGTGTGGGGCTGCAGGTAATAAGTCTGGAGAAGAGTTCATGATCTCACTGTGGCATAATTAATGTTCTACTTCTTAATGAGAATAGTATTGCAAAAGAGTATCTTAAATCTGGGGGACATCTGCCCTTGGCCATTGAGGTTCAAAGAAGCATATTGTAAGTTCCCAAGGTAGACGCCCAAAGCCCATCCTTCATGTGGTGACAATGCAATATTCTCCATTTTCTTATTTCCCAGGTGAGCAGAACACACACATCTCCTCTGAGAGCTAAAACTGAGATAAGTCACATCCTTTGGATCCATTCATCAGCATTCATGAATGGACTGCTGTGTAACAGCTGCTCTGGGGGATATAACCAAGTGTCCCCCTCACCCCGCAGTGGTGAGTCTCCTTTGCCGCTGGAAACTCACAGCTCAGAAGGGAAGAGGTGTCTCTAGATGTCAGGCAGGGTCTGCCCTAATCATCTATCACTGCATAGTAATTCGCTCCCATCTTCATAGCTTAAAACAACAATTTCATCTTTGGGACAGGAATTCAGGAAGGACTCAGCTCCTGTTCTGACCTCCCTCCTGTAGCTGGGGAGGGGGGGTGTTGAAGGAGTTGGGGGGTGTGGGGGAGCTGGCCAGTAATCTCTCTTCTCATGTAGTCTCAGGGGCTCTCCCTGTTGTCTCTTGGTGTGGGCCTGCCTCAAAGCTTGGTGGTCTCAGGACATGCTGTTTTCAGCTCAAGTTCTCAGAGGTGGGTATCCCAAGAGAATTGGGCAGAGTCGCTTTTGTAACTAGTGTAGAAGTTACAGTATCACTTCCTCTTGAGGGAGAAATGTCAGTCATGCTGTCAAAAAAAAAAAAATGTGGGATGGGAGATGTTGTTTTAACTATCATTGGAAAATATAATCTGCAACAGCATTCCAGCAGAAACCAGATGTCACATCCAAATTAGGATAATTTTAAGAAGCTTAATGAAGCCACCAGTTATAGGAATGTAGGCGAATAAGAGGTAAGTGTGGTATCCTGAGGTGACTGATAACAGAAATGGTTACACCCGCACAGCCAGTTGACCTGGAGGGAGAGATTGCAGGACCTTAGGAGAGGAGAATTCGGAAAGGCCTCACTTTAGATGACAACTCAGCAGGAAAGCAGACCTATCAATCCCTCCTCTCCCACCATCTCTTGCCAGCACCCTCCCCCACTGACCCCATTGGCTGAACCTAACAAGAAGCTCACAGGTCCAAAGCCCACACTGCCTTGGCTCTGGGGAAGAGACCAGAGTGAAGAAAAGCAAAGAGTACTTCTGTAGAGGCAGCAAAAAATATCTAGCAATAAGAAATATGTATTCCACAAGAAAGATTATCACCTGATAGCTGTAGAGAGGTATGTAACTCTAGTGTATTCTGATGAGAGAGAACTTTTGAGTTGTTTCCATGTAATGTCAACAAATAGAGACAGGGTGCAGGGGAAATTCCTATCACCAGCAACTCTCTGAGTCTCGTCCTTTATCTTGTGACTTATGAAAGACCAGGCTATTGGAAAGGGAGTTGTCCATGTGAGTAGGCCAGATAGAGGTAACATAGCCTCTGGGCACTGACAGGCCTCCTTCATGGATGGCCCCTGGTGGGGGTCCCCTAGGAAGGAAAACTGACCTGGCCCCGCAACACCAACAACGTACTAGAGGGATGAAGACTTGCTACGTAGAGGCCGGGAGGTCCAAAGGCACCAGTCTGGCTGCCAGTGATGGCCAGTGCCCACCAGAGCAGAACCTATGTGACCCCGGGGCCTGATTCTTCTTCTGCCTCAGTGATCTCATCCTGAACCTCATAAAGCTCTCTCCCTCACCACATTCCCCTCAACTCCCCTCTCCCCCAGTCTAAAGAATCTTCATCTGACCTGGGGATAAGGAAATCTGATTTTTTACCTATTCTTCCAAATCTACTATTTATCATACAAAAAGCAAACTCAAAAGTTCAGGTTCTTGTAACTACACATCCTCAGCTCCTGAAACTCAATGTGCTCCAAGGAAGGGATCCCTGTGCAGAATGCAGGGAACAGGTAAATGATATCTTGGCTTGGGGTCTGGAGAGGGTCACAAGGTGTGTGGTGGGGTCAATGGAGGATGGCCCAGAGCGAACGTGCTATCACAATTCAAACTCAGAAAAGACCATTTACAGGAGTGCCCGGGAAAGAGTTCAGTGACTCTTGGAGGCATGGACAATATTCCCACAGGAGGAGAGGGGAAGAAGCACTTCAAGCGGAGAGGAGAGAATGAGCAAAAGAAGGAAAGCACATTCAGAAAATACAGTTTAATGATGAGGCCGACCTCTCCTGTCTCGCCTACTGCTCCCCTCAGCGGTGACTTCGGTCCTTCTGCCTGTTCTGCTCCCTGCTCTGGCTCTGGTGAATTCTCTCACCCTCCCACGCCTCTGGCCTGTACTCCAGTGCTTGAATAAATAAATAAATATGTTAAGAGTGTGGGGGAGTTGCATGTTGAGGAAATACTTCTAGAAGTGGAGGGTGGGGTCAGGTAATGAAAGACCTAGAAAAAAATCTTCCTTTCTGCACATCATTGGAATCATTGGGTCTGAGTTGTGCTTACAAAGATGAATGCAGGATCAGTGGAGAGTGCACAGGACGCGCACACTTCGACTGAAGTGGTGGACATTCACTTTTGGCCCTAAGTCCATCCAAGCCTCATGCCCGTGGCTTCTCTCACCATCTCGCTCTATGTGCTCCACAGCTGTGGTCCCTCCCTGACTGCAGACATGGGTTTCCAATTCCCACCTACATGTCCCACCAACTCCTTAACTCAACTCACCCACAGCTGACCTTATCACTCCCTCTCCCCCACTGCCACACCTTCTGCCCCCCCATGCTCCGCTAGATATGCTGTAGCTCCCAGGTCAGAATTCTCATTTTCCTATACTTCCTCCCCCCACTACCTCATGACTCCCTCCACTCTGCATATATCATAGCCAGATCCTCCCAAGCCTTCTTTCTGTCCCCCCGCCCCCCGCTATTGAATCCATCTCTTTTTTTATCCTTATTAAGGAGTCCTAAGGTCAAACCATCAGCACCTCTCTCCTGATAATCACAAAAGATTGTAATTAGTCTTCCACAGTTGACCTCTTTCTGCTCCCCCATCATCCACAGTTCAACCCTCTTCTTTACTACACACTAAATCAGATCATGGTGTTTCCACTCTCAAGACATCCTCTGGTCACTCCATGGCCTAGAGGATCAAGAAAAACTCATTTAGCCCATAAAGTCTTCAGAGGTTGATTCTGGTTGCCACTCCAGCTGGTTCTACCTGGCTACTTCCCAGTGTCTATAAGAAGTGACTTCTTGGCTCTCTGCATTCAGCTGTGATGTCCTTCCTGGGAGCAATGAATGATGGGACTAGACCCGAGTGATTCGGACTGGAGAGGCAGGGCCTGTGGACAGGAGGAAGCCCCAGGTGTGTGACTGCGGGGAGTGGCGGTGGGAGGGGGAATGAGAATATATCACTTAATTCCTCAAAAATATTACCTGCCATCCATTCAAATAAAGAGGGATATGCTCCCTAAGAAATAATTGAACTGCCCTGTATTTTCAAAGGAAAACAGGCTTCAAAAGCAAAATCAGATTCAGATAAGATCTGATTCTCAAGGGGACTGTTCTGGTGAGCTCTCAGGTGAGTGTTTTCACTGGTTCCTCTCCTGACACAGAGTAGATCAGAGTCTCTCCCTCTCGCCTTATCTCAAAGTTTCAGGGAGGACAGTTGAGCTTAATAAACACTCTTCAGAGCAAGAAAGAGGAGAAGGAATTAAGGGCCAACAGAATCGATAAATCATAATTAATCAAATTCTTCTCCTTCCCCAACTCTCTGGCCCTGTTAAATAAACGTGGATAATCCTAGTACAATAAGTTGCGGCTGGCTTTATGATGCCTGGTTACCAGCCTGGATCAGGGACCCAGTCCCAGTTCCAGGTGTGTCACTAAAAATCGCCAGGCAACCTCGGCAATCCTGGCCCTTCCCTGATGCTCTGCTTCCCTCTTTAGATAAGTGAAGGATTGAACTCATTTGCACAAGTCCCGACACACTAAATTCTAATTTCCTCGATTTTCAACCATTAAAACATCTCCCTTTATTTATCTGACCCTGAATTTTACTTTTGAATGCCCTCAGTCCTCCGCTCCTCTTTATTTATTTTTTCTTCTCATTCTATCTGCTCAGGCAAGCAAGACATAGCACTTGCTGGACCGTGTTCCAGGCTCTTGACTTGGGTTTACAGAGCGTGTCCTGCCCACTGAGCCAGTCCAGGAGCCACCACGACCCTACTCCAGCGGCCTCTCAACCCTGGGCCTGGCCCTTTCCAGGCCAGAAGGAGATGAGACCAAGGACCCCGACACCGGAAATATCGTGCTGGTACCAAAATTGTAGTTCTCTTCAACAAGGTCTCCTGCTGGAATGACCCTATTTTTGAAATTCACTTTTTACAAATCTAAGCACAATAAATTCAATACTAATGTCGGTTGTCCTTTCAAAAAAAAAAGTTGTCGAACTAAGACCACGCTGTCACTCTGGGGGGAAGGAAATCATTCAGGCAGTCCCTCACCTCAGGGTCCTGGCAGAGTCTTGACATTTTATATCCACTTTCAGGATACTCTTGGACCTCTTGAAGTTAATGGACCCCGTAAAGACTTTGATAGATACATGCTGCCAAAGGTCGGGATAGTCACTCCTGAAAGACAAAACATCTGGGTGGTCCACTGAGTTTTCCATGTAAGAAATGATGTCTTGACATCAGCTTAGCTCAGATGGAACAATGAACACCCAGCTGACATCCCAGATGCCCCAGATCACCTGGGAGCATGCATGGCAGGCTCTTCTCCACCGTCTGGAAGCTGTTTCTGATGTTAAAATGCTCTCAGAGATCAGCGACCCGACATGGCCAGACAGACACGAGTTAAAACTTCAAGGAATCAGCAGCTACTGCAAACTGGAAACAGCAAGTCTGATGGTGATGAGCAATCCTTTTAGCCTTAGCTTTTTCACCAATCTTGGGTGACGTAAAATAGGGAGTCTTGAAGAAATTTTCAGACAGTTGTTTGAAATCTTTTTCTCCCAGGAAAGTCCTTCCGAAGGACACAAGTGTTCAGTTTCCTTCCTAGGCCCAATCTCTTAGTCACCCGCCTTTGGCACCGCCGACCCCATCACTATAGATTAAGCATCTCCTAATGTGCCAGTGCCATGCTGGGAAGGCACAGAGCTGAACAAGATGCAGTCCTGACCTGGGAGGGCGCATGGTGCTCCACTGATGCAAAGAATGACAAATGGAATGGCGAGGAAGGGATGTGTGCTGAAGAAAGATACATGGACCGAGAGCCTGTTCCTGTAAGAAATCAAGGAGGCTGGTTTTGGTTTGCTCCATAAGCCATAGACTATCAGCACCAGGAGATTATCACAGATTATCTGTTCCTACCTACTCATTTTACAAATGGAGAGTCAGGCAGGGAAAGAAGTCACACAGTTTTTTTAATGATTATTTTTATTTACTTATTTTTGCATAGAACTGGGGGTACAGGCCAGAGCTGCAGGGGGTGAGGAGATTCGCCAGATACAGAGTGGGGAGCAAAACAGGCAGATCTCCTGAAATATACTGCTGAGGGGAACAGAGGGCTAGACAAGAGAGGTCTGCTGCACCATATGGGTCAGCTCCCTGGCCGGGGTGGAACTCAGGTCATAGTCATAATAGCACTGGGACAACCCCTAGGCCACCAGGGAGTCCCCACAAGTCACAAAATTTTAAAGCTGAGCCAACAGATAGCAAATTCTCTTTTTTAGACTGATGACTTACTGTATATATCTAGAACAGAAATAGATGTGACTGAAACAATCCATTTTGTTTTCCAACCAGAAATATACAAGGTATAGCTCATCAAGATTTGTTAACCCTTAAGAGGACGGTCATTCTCCTGAGATGACTGTACTCAATGCTCTCTGTACTTAGCTTGTCTGTCCATTTTGAAATAGTTCCTCATTCTACTATCCTACTCTTAATCATTACGGTCTTTCACCGAAAACTCATCATTATACTTGTCATATTTGCTATATTTGTACAGCACTTTAGGGTTCAAAAAATATTTTAAAGCCCTTTGTCTCCATTTTGAGAACAAAGTTGTAGGCTTACTAGCCTTAGAGAGATAGGGTCAGTAAGCAGGAGGGGTTCAGAGTGGAGCTAAGGGCATCACTGTGTCAGGGAACAGGACCTGCAAAGCCAGGTGAGGGCAATCAGGATGCATGGCACTGCTTTTGTGGGTCAGACAATAGGGAGTGGCCCTCAAGTCCACGAAGGCCAGTGAGCTGGAAAGAAGTAAGTCAAAAACACGTATTGAATCACTCCTGTGTGCAGGGCTCCTTGCTATGTGGGTCGAAAGGTGAATAAGCAAGGCACCCCCTCCGAAGAATGTTTTGGATTGCTGCACAATTTTCTTAGGCCACAGGGAGTGGAAGGCATCAGTGAGCAGTAGTCACGGGGTGGAGAGGAGAAGTAGGTGCATGAAATTCCTGAGGTGTGGTCCCAGCTATCAAACCAGGGAAGCAGGAAGGTGCCAGGATCTTCACTGGATGGAGAGCGTGACCACCGGACACTCGGGCAGAGGTGGAGGCTAACATGTCAAGAGCAGGAGGTGGGCACCCTTCAAATGCCGTGCAGGTGGAACTCTTGGACTGTACTTCATTTCAAAGCCATTAAGTGGATTGTCATGAATGAGCTTCTATTCACTTTATAGACAAGGGATTTTAATAATGTTTTCATAGGCTGAGAAAGGCCAAAAGGACCATTTGTGTGATATTTAAAACTTGGGGCTCCATAACTCAGGCTACTGGGGTCTAGAGAAGCAGCTGAAGGCGGTTATCAGGGTGTCCAAGAGTTAAGTTATTAACCACCTTCAAATATGTGAAGGGTGCTAAGACTTTCCCACAACTCTCAAATCAAAATCAGAAAGTAATGACCAGACCCAGGGGCTGCCAGGGAGGTGGGAATCAGCATAGAGAATTCTTAGAAACCAACAGTGAAGACAGAAGCTTTAGAGGGGAGGAATAATTTTGGAAATTGTTTAATAGAGACATTAAGCTAGTAGTTAGAACTCCATCCCACTAAGTTGTGCTGCTCCATCTGGACTGCAGCTTCTCCTTTATCATTGAAATAGCCCTGAGCAGTGCTCACAGATTGGCCAGTCCCCAGGGAGATAGCCAGAGGCTCCTAGCATTGTCTCACCTCCCTGTCAGCTCCTTTAATCACTGTTTCCATCTGACTCCCTGGCACTCTCCTTAGCTATCTGGATCCCTCTTCTTAGATCTGTTGACATCCCCCCCATACTTCAAGACTCAACTCACATGCTACTTCCTACAAGAAGCCTTACCTGATCCATCCCCCCAGATAGGACAGGCTCCCTCACCTTGACACCTTGTACTTCTTTACA